GTATGTCTAATATTTAGTTTCTTAGAAAAATATGCCCAAAAAGTTCCCTTCAAACAAAAATAGCTCAATTTTTAAAGAGTTGCTCAAGTTTATATAACTTTTCGTGCTAGAAATTGAATGATTATTCGTATTTTCAATGTCTTCTTTTTCTATGGTGATTCATATTTGTGAGTAATAATTCTATGGTTGAGTTTCAATGCAACATTTTTATCTCTGTCCATCTTCAACTATCCAATGATTGTTGTTGAAGCTTAGTGGTTAATGTTATGCATTTACATCCTAAACTCAAAATCTAGAAGGATATTACATAGGTGATTACCCGTTTTGAATATTGCTCAAATTTTATTTTAATCTTAATTGATATATATATATATATATATATATTTGACACATGATTGAATATGCTTTGAAGTTTATTAAAAGCATGCTTTGTATTTTGGATTTAGGGTAAAATAATAGTTGAAAAGCCTTCAACCATGTATTGAATATGGTTGGATCAAGGTTAAAAATAAGCTTTGAGCAATGACATCATAATAAGTTTTGAATAATAGTAAAAGAAGTGCTTTAATCAATTTTTGAATATAGTATAGTGCTTAGTCATGTATTCATGAAGCTTCAAACTTAACAAATTTAATTTGAATTTATTTTTTTGGTACTCATTTGAGTTTTATTGCTATGTATCATGTATGCTTATGTTTGGATCACATCAAAATCTAGGGGTGTGATAGTAAAAATTATTAGGCGTTTCAAATCATTTGAGATTAATGATATTATTGCGTTGAAAATCAGAGGTAAGCATATATAACGTATGAATGTGTGGATGTTTTCTCTTATACATGTTAAAAGATATTGCAAGTATTTGTATAGGCGTGTTGCCTTTAACGGATGTGATGTTGATTTTATTAAATGTATTGTTGAATATCAATGCAAAGCTTTGTAGCTTGGATTCACAATTACAAATTGAAAATACACTTGTTATTATTTTATAAAAATGGCTTCAATCATGACATTAAAGAGTATATATATGTAGTCAGATTTGGGCATTTTATGGTGATATAATTGTGTGTGTGTGTGTATAATCAACTTTGAGCACTTTATAATGATATAGATATAATCAAATTTAAGCACTTTATAGTGATATAATTGTGTTTTAAATAGGACCTATTTTATAAATAAGCATGATAATCATCAAAATTAGTAAATGGAGCATCAATTAATAAAAATTTAAATATGAGCAATTACAATTAAATTAAATGGTGCATTTTAAAAAGTATCAAATTATTTGGATTAGTGAAAATACGCCATTTAATTTGGTGAATTACACTCACGACTATAGAGAGAAGGGGGAGAGAGAGGCACGTGAGAGAGAGAGATGGCAGCCGAGAGAGAGAAAGAGAGAGAGAGAGGAGGGGAGATAGAGGGGGCAGAGATATAATAATCGAGAGAGAGTTAAATAATAGTTAAATATTTAAATTAATAATTAAATATTTAAATTAGTATTTACTATTTTAACATATTTTAAGATATTTAACTATTATTTAAACTGATTTTTAAATATTTATTTAAAAATTAAAAATAATTTTTAAAAGGCATATTTTTAGGTATATGCAAAAATATTAAATAAAATAATAACCATTTTCTAATTCAATTTAACCACATGAAATCAATTTTTCGGTTTCCATTTTTAAAATAAATATAATATAAATTAAATAATTTATTAAATAATTTTTTTTATAAATTATTATATTTAATTAAAACTTAAACGTTTTATATATTATTAGTTTAAATTATTAAATATATGCATTTTTAAACTACATAAATATTTAAAAATCAGCTAAAATACTAATTTAAATATTTAATTATTATTTAATTTTCTATCTTCATTGTGGTATCTCTCCCCAATCTCCCTTCTCTCTCTCCACCGCCATCTTCCTCTCTCTTCATCTCTCACTTCTCTCTCTCCCCCTTCTTCTATCTGTAATGCGTCAAATTAAATGGCGTATTCTCACTGCACCAAATAATTTGATGCATTTCAAAAAATGCCATTTAATTTAATGTATTTGCTCATATTTAAATTTTTATTAATCTAAGATTTTTCAATTAATTTTGATGATTATCATGTTTCTTTATAAAATAAGTCCTTTTAAATATTGATATTGTATTCAATTCTATCAATTTTTTTGTCAAATTTGCATTTTCGTCAAACTTTTACCACCAAGTGTAATGAATCTCAAAATGAGAATAATTTTGCATTGGTAAAATTTTCATCGCGTAACTTATTATATGTTATAGAGATTGAGATTATTAATATTTTGAGTATTTATTTGAGATTTTTTGTAAGGTAATTTTTAAAAAATAAAAATTTTTATTACTTCAAAAATTTATTTTGATATCTAAAAATAGTTTTTTAATTAAATTAAAGCTTCAAAATATTATTATATACAATCTCTGGATACTTGTGTTTCTTGGGGAGGGATGAATCTTTCTCCTTTTAAAATGTTTCATGCAGCTTTTTATGATGATTTATCTAAGGAGGAATTGTATTCTTTCATATGCATGAAAAGATAGGAAGAAACTGATCTCCAACAAAAACTGCATGAGAACCAGCCAAAAAATAAAAAAACCCCAAAGCAGTTGGGGTAGAATCGAAGACGGACTCAGGGTTAATCAGAAATGCATCCTCAAGATGAACGGCCCCCGGTTGCCAAAAATGCCATCAAATATGAAAATGTTGCAAATTTCGCCGTCCTGGGGGGAGGATGAAATATGCACATATCTCCCCCAGTCAACAAACCAAATTGTAGAATATATCCAAATTGATACCCCTTTTGAGAAAAATGGAGCAATAACACAGCAAACCCGGGGTGCCAACAGACCCCATTTTGAAAGACAATATAAATACCAAGCAATATCATCTTTTTTTCCATCTTGTAAGCTTAATAGCAACCACCTGTTTAATCAGGGCTTGTATGGTCGTGATGCTTTTAGTATAATTGGCAAATTTCCGCCCATTTCTCTCTCTCCAAATAATGTAAACAACAGCCCAAAGAAATTTAAATGTGTCTCAAACTTGTATTTTATGTGTTAAAGCTCAGAAAAATCATAATCATCTCTTATTTAAGTGTGATTATTCTTTCGTTATAATTTCTGGATTGATAGCAAATTTGAATCATTTTATGCTCAGACCAAACTTTCTTCAAGTATTTGATTTTATTATGAATTCTAATATGGAGAAGAATCCAAAGGAATTTATTTTTTCTGATCATCTGCTGCTCTATATATTCCTTGTGGAGAGAATGGAATTATAAAAGATTTGCTGTGAATCATAAATGTGTGGTAACAATTGATTGGTTGATTAAGAATGCTATTGTTGTAAAGATTGTTTCTTGGAAATCATCTCATAATATCAAGTATTTTACTGTTTTTTAAAGCAGTTTTTTAGTACAAAAATTTTAATTTTTGTACTAAAAAGTTGTTTTAATAAGCAGTAAGAAAACCGTCCCAAACGAAGCCTAAGTTTTGGCTGTTTACTTGGACTATAATGAACTTGTTTTTACTTAATTCTTATCTTGGCTGGTTCCTCCTCGCAACCAATTTTTAATTTGGAAGGTCAGCAATCAAGGGATTTGTCTCTTTTAATCGAGTTTGTTGCTTTATGGCTTCAAGGCGAGGCTGCCAGATGTTGTTCTGGGTAGCCATTTTTTTGAATGGTGCCTGGTTCTTTGGATTATCTCAGTAGCATTGGATGAGCTTAATAAACTATTCAAGTCCCTTAGGAGTTTCTTATTTTCTTTGAACTATTTTTAGATGTTTTTAAGCTTTAATGCTTAGTTTCTTTTTCTAGAATTATAATTTTTTTTCTTATTTTTCTTACTGTTTTTTATTGTAATCTTAATGGGTGTCAATTTCGAGTCATGGGTAAAGTTCGGATCGAACTCGGAATTGATTCGGCACTATTTGGGCCAACCCAAACTTGTACCGCTTCGGGTTCGGGTCAACCCTACCTGACCTGCAAACACAGCAATGACGGTAGCGGAATGTCTGCACTAGCGGTGGGCCGGCGGTCGGCGGTAGCGGAATGTCTGCACCAGCGGTGGGCCAGTGGTCGGCGGTAGCGGAAGTCAGCGAGCAGGAATGCGACCGACGGCAGGATGCGGGGACGGCCTGTAAGCAGGTCCGCGGTCAGCGGGATGCTACGCTGGGCAGGTTCGGGACGCGACAGGGCGTGCGACGCTACCCTCGGGATGCAACACGAGGCTTCGAGATGCGAGCAGGCAGGCTGGGCAGCTCAGGCGCGGCATATGCGGGTAAGTCTGATCAACGCGGGAGTTCGGGTCATTCCGAGTCAATCTCAAAAACCGAACCCAACCCGATTTTTAAAACGAGTTGAAAACCTTAACTCAAACATGACCTGATTCAGGCACAATTCAATCATAACCCGAAATTTTCAGGCCAATCAAAATTTTGAATCATGTCAAATATTAACCCCTAAAAAGTGGACATAATTGACCCTAATATTCCCTTAAAAAAATTCCTACTAAAAATGGTAGCGCCTTACGCGTGACCAACCGATGTACAGCTGCATAAACAAAACAATATCCGTAACGAATTGAAATAAATATGGAGCCCGCGCGGCTCGGCGGTAAGCTGACTCGCCCTTTCAATTGGAGATAATAATTTTTAACCGGGGCCCACCTCAGCCAATGGCCGCCGGTGCTCGCCGGCTCCATAAACCAAGAAAATTTGTCCTTTCCTTCACTCAGCGAAAGAGGGGCTATTTCGTCAATTTGTTTGTCCCTTTCATGGCCCTAATTCCTAAATACCTTCACCCGTAAATTTGAAAGAAATTATGATCCTTCGACGTAATTTTCTTCACATGTTCTCAGTTCCCACTCTCATGTCCACGCTGTCCGCGTATGCTTTACAGGCTGTCATCACCTCCTACCAACCCATTTATATATACGCTCTTCTCCCCTTTTCCTCCGCCTTCCATCGCCAAAAGCTCTAAAATCTTCGGTCAGGACATCACCGGAATATTCCATTGCTTCGCAATGGGGCTGTGTACTTCGTGCGAGGCGACGACGGTGGCGCCGATCACGACGGCGAAGCTAATCCTCATTAACGGCGAGCTTCGTGAGTTCGCCTGTCCGGTGAAGGCGGCGCAAGCGCTGCAGAAGGATGAGGAGTTCTTCGTCTGTGACGCCGACGAAATGGATTTCGGCGGATTTGTAACGGCTGTCCCCGACACCGTGGAGCTCCGTCTAGGGCAGATCTACTTCGTGCTGCCGCGATCGATGCTGCGGCAGCCTTTACAAGCGGCGGACCTCGCGGCTCTCGCTGTGAAGGCCAGCTCGGCGCTCATGAGAGCAGCGCCGGATGGGGAGACGAAGCTGGTGTTCTCGGAGACGCGATCCGAGCCGGCTGAAAGAACACCGGAGAGGAGACGGCGGAAGCGGAGCAGTGGATCGGGGCGAAGTTTTGAGTCAAATCTGAGTTCGATTGTGGAATGAGGAAGGTTAGATTGGACAAAACGAAGAGATTCTCTTAACGGGAAATAGGAACGATTCCAGGACTGGAATCGGCGGGGGCGAAAGGAATGTGAGTCGATTTGATGAGATCGATCGGAGGATTAAAGCAGGCGGGTACGATCAGATTGTTCATAGTCATGCCGTTCCGCAAGGCGGAGAGCTGCTCCGCCACCTTGTTCTCCTGATTTTCTTGTAAGTTTGAGAAAGAAAATGAAAGAAATGGATACAGATCTTGGATCATTTGGGACTGGCTTTTTTGAATGTTTTCAATCAAAATGGAAGCTGTGATTAGAAGCGGAATCTGACTCTCTCTCTCTCCCTCTTTAATTTTAGAATGGACAAAAAAACAGTCAAATAATGTATAATTTAATATATGAAAGAGAAAATTTAAATTTTTTTTATAGAATTCGAGCAATAGTATTTGCTGGAGATGGGAAAGATAATTAAAATATTTATTTAAAAAAATTTCATTTAAGTGGACAATTGTTTATTTTGAATTCTTCTTGATTTCATCTGATTCAAATAAGATAATTTATGTCACCAAAAAATTTGTCCTTTTGGGAAATGAATTTCGATGTAAATATGATATTGAGGTTTCAAAAATTAAAATAAGGATCATCTTATCTTCATTTTCAGCAAGCTTATAGTTAAGTTGAACATCTTGAGAAGAGCTCAACGACTTAAAATTTTATCTAATCCGAGCTATCCAAGCCCAATTGAGTTCAAACCAAAGGTCCAAAGTCTATTTGAAACTTAAGCTCATTAATTGAACTATCAAATGATATATGAATATGATACGCTTATAGTCGAATCGAGCGGCTCGATGAGACGAATCCAGTGAGCCCAAGATTACTCAATTCTGACATCTATATGACATCCAAATGATTGATAAATGTTTCATGATCAAGGGGATCACTATGAGTCGTCTGATAGACAACTCTCAACATGCCCTTGATCTTCTCCATGATTACTAGCTATACCGCTCCAAAAAAATTATAAATAGACCTCATTCTTCTCATGAAAGGGGTAAGAAAAAGAAAGAAGATAGGAGCTCTGAGGCTGAAGCTCCACCTCGGCACCACCTTCGACGAAGCTGTGCCATCAGGTTGCCGCTGTTGAACCTCTGACCGACCATCATCGTTAGACCTCGATATGGATGCCACTAATGAGCCTTCATCCGACCATAGTTGCCCGCCGATTATAGTCCTTCCAACCATTGTCGCCCGCCGATTACGGTCCTTCTGACCACCGTCATCTGTCGACTACAATCCTCCCGACCATCACCGCCTACTAACTACGATCCTACTAACCAAATGAATATACTGATACTCTCTTCAGAGCAGCTGTCATGACATTCTTCAACTATATACTATATTATATACAATTTATATTTGCTACATTGAGCCAACTTCCTCCTCTGAGAAAGGGCAGCATTTGTAATCAACCACCCATACTAGCGGAATCATTTCAACTGGGCAAGGCCCCATGATTTTTCTCTTTTCAGGATTTTATACATTAAAAATTATGATGTTTCTTATGATTGATGCACCCATCTCTTCTATCTATTTGTATGCTAAATTTTCGTATAAAGTTGGGAAGTTAAACTCTATATTTATCTACCGTGGCGAATATTATAGGCAGCAATAATAACAATCCAGGGTATGCAGAAATTAAAAGCAATCGGGCATCACTGATAACAACCCAGACACTAATCCGAATAAGGACGCAAGTTTCAAAAATGGTATATTTTTCTTCTTGTTCTTCATTTCTTCATCTCCTTCCTTCTGGCTTCTTGGATTTGTCGAGTCCAAGAATCCGAATGAAAAGAACTCATCCCCGAAGGGGTGTTTCTTTTCTCTTTGGATTTTCAAGTCATCCGAGTTTATTCCGCCCGCACTCGCAGACTCTGCCCACACTCACAACTCACGAGTCAACTCAGACTTCACCAGGCCCAACGTCTTGTGGCCTCGCCGACTACCTTCCGTAGTCATACGGCCCCGCCAACCGCCTTATGCCATCCTGAGTCATTCCCTCCTGAGTACCGACTGTCTCGCCTTCCTTTCTAAGCCAAACCTAGGCCATCCGTCGACTACTCAACTTTGTACAACAAGGCACTGACATTCCCTCCCCTCCCAATTTGGGTTCGGGTTACATTTTCTAACCCGTCTGAAAAAATGTGTTAAGTTCGATTGTGTCAAATAGCGTCGGGTCAGTTTTGGGTTCGACCCGTACCCGTCCCGTTAACTCGAATTGACACTAATAGGATGAAGGGGTTTTTAGTTTGAGTTTAGGTATTAGTATTTAAACATTCATTTTATGGTGAATTTCATTTGTTGAATAATTACTACCTTTGTTTACATCATAGCCATGAAGTTTATTTCAACTTCCTTGAGTCTAAGTTAGTAGCCTTGTAGGTCTGATTATACAATAGTAACCAATATTATTTAATTGATTTAGTTGGTTTAAATTAAGGGATGATGATTTTTAATTAATTAGTTGCTGATTTGATTCATTAGATTGATTTTTTTTCCATCAACCAGTTTGTGGTGTTGACAAAAATGGGCACGAGAATCAAGGTCTCCTTTGGACACATATCCCCACAGCTCAAGATAGTCTATCCTAAAAATCTATTTAATGTCTTAATAATTTAATTTTGGTTAAATGATTAATTATTAGTCGATTTTAGGATTTTACACTCTATTGAATCTGTTCTTAGCGTTGTCATAATGTGTATGAAAATCAAAGTCTCGTTTAGACACTAGTCTCATATCTCGAGGTAGTCCATCTAAAAAACTTCATCAATAGAGTGTTTATTATCTATTTTGGGATTGGCTATTTGACTATATTGATTGGGTTGATGTTTTGTTAAAATTTTAGTCATTTGTTTAATTTTTGGATTTTATGAATTATTTTAATTCGTTAAATAAATGTCTAATTTTGACTTTTAATTTTGATTAAGTTCAAGAATTTTGATATTTTTTTTATAAATATTAGATCCTTAGATAAATAAAATGACACTAAGTTTGTTGGATTTACATTTTCTATAATTAGTTGTGATTTTTTAAAGTTCTGATGTAATTTTGATCTATAGCTAACAAAAGAGTTTACATTTTTATTTTTTGTTATTTCTTGAAATTTGATATTTTTCATAAATATTAGACTCTTAAAAGAGTCCATTGTCTTTAAGTTTGGTCAATTTGAAGTTTTCTATAATTTTTTATGTATTTTTGAAGTTTTGTCATTTAATTGAATTAGTTAATTGCAAAATTAGAGAGGTTTTTCAATTTTGCACCGACTTCATTCCAAACTCATTCAAATCACTCCCAAAGGTCAGGGATGACCTGTAAGAGTATTTTTTAAAGAGTTTGTAATTTATTTGGCATTTTTAAGAATTTTTAATTATTTATTTTAATTAATTATTAATTTTTCCTAAATATTAAGTTAAGGCAAAATTTGGAGTCCAGCGAAGGGGTTTTAATTTTCCTAGATAGATAAATTAATTATGAATATCTTGATATATTATTTCATTATTTATAGTTTTTGGATTTAATTTAGATTTATTATATTTTATTTTAAGTTTCAGGCCTTCTAAAAGGGCTGTTTTTGTTTTGACTACTTTTATGGCTTAATGGATTCAAAATTTAGTAAAATAGAAACCTAAGGTTCATAATGTCACTAAGTTCACTTTTGCAAAATTTCACTCCAATTGGGTGTGTATATAAATTTCTAGGATTTTTCTAAGTTTTCTAGAAATAGACCTTAAATATTTTTTCTAGGTGTCACTAGTGTTCTCATAGGTTTGAAATCAAGTGTATCTACCCCTTATAAAAAAACACACATGCCATTAAAATTTCAAAGCCTAATTATATGTATTTGAAGTGAATTTTCAAAGTTTTAGGTCAAAATTTAACCCAAAACATTAGAAATTCAATTTGTCAAAATTTAGCCATTACTAAAAGACAAGAAAATTGGGGTATGTGAGTAACATCCTCAAGTGTCACCTATCCAAATTTGAGCTCAATTGGATTATCTGATGAGAGTTATTGGCCAAATTCAATTTTTAATAAAAAATTAATATCTCACATTCCAATGGTCTAAATTTAATGAAATTATGTTTAAATTAAACTTGGGCTCGATATGATTCCAATGAGCCTAAGAACATCAAATTTGGATAAGAAATAGTTTTTTAAAATTTTTTGCAGTTTCAGCCATTTTTTGAATTAAGGAGCGTATTAAACTGATCTTCGATCCGACGGGACGATCTTGATCGTACAATATGATCCAAAATCTTACAGTATGATATTTTACACATGTTTTGAGCAGGAATCATATAGGTGACCGTATTGTGCAATCTGAAGATCATACAATACAATTTCTACACAATTTGGAGCAAAATCACTACCGTTTGATCAAAACAGAAGAAATAGACAGTTGTGATTTTGTCTTCTACCCAAGATTGACCAAAAACCTAAATAGAAAAGGCTTTCTAAATATAACATAGGGTACATTAAATGGCATGAAACTTTAAAATATTATAAAATATGATTAAAGAGGAGAATGAGAGTTATTTTTACGTTTAAAAATGCATCACACACAAAACATATTAAATCCTAAATCTAGAATCTTAGGTTTCACTTTTACCTTGATCCAATAGATATAAATGGCCAAATGTTAGCTCTTTTTTCTTATTGTAGCCTCTAAAAAAATCCCTCTGAAGAAATTGCGGTCTGAAAAGCTCTAGATCACTAGTTTATTGAGTTGGATGTACTACAAGCAAAGGTTGGCTAAAAGCTCGTCGCCGGCAGCCTTTCACCAGTGGGTTTGAGCTAAGAAAATGTAGAGGGGGATGTGTAGATACCAAAAAAAAGGAGCTCTGGCTTGGGGACTGAGGGTAATGAGATTAGTTAGAATGAGGCATTTCATGCCTTTTGCCTATCTCAAGGGTTTAGGGTTTTAGGGAATGATTGGGATGCATCAAAGCCTTCCCTTAGATGCCCTACACATGTCCGAAGTGGTTAGATGGCATAGTCAAAGGTTGGGAGAGCTAGGATGTCATTGGGTGGACATGCATGGGAGGGGGACCATATTTGCTCTTTTGGACTAAACTAGGGTCTGAGCTCGATTTAAGGGAAGTTCCACAAGATGCAAGGTACGGTGGAATAGTCTATAAATATTTGGAGGTTTTACAAGCTTTGGATTTCAATCGAGTTTTTATAGATTGGCCTCAAATTTGGAGGGTTGACTGTATGGACATGCCTAATCAATGCAATTAATATATCATAAATTAGGGGTCATTTGATTTGATTTTGAGGTGATTAAAAAATCACCCAAAAAGGGGTTAAAGGGCATGAGCCTTTGATCTTAATATTTTTTAAGGTATGGTTATGTCTTTGAATAAAGCTCGATTGTAGTTTAGGTATATTTGACCATTATTTAAAAATATATATATGTATGACCATTATTTGATCATATTCAATCAATGTTCAAACATGATTCAATTAATTCAGATATATGTTTGAAGAACAGCAAAGTTACAAATTAATCAAACATTTTTGTAAATAAATAAAAATTCAATATTATTATATTGTGTGAGGAGAATGGAAGGAAAGCACATAAGCTTGTTGGATATTTTCACTCGAAAATAAACCAAAAGATTGAAGATATAGGGAAGTATTTTTTCAACAATCTCATTGATCTTATATAAAATGATAAATATTGATAAGAGATAGTTTGATTTGAAATTGGAGATGATGTATTGCTTTGGTGAAGCATCATTAATTTCACCAACCGGGCTACTTTTAGATGATGATCTTAATTTTTTAATAGAATGGGATTTCTTTACCCTTTAAATCTCAATCTCTAATATGTGTCATGACTACTCTTATAAAGGTTTTAATCACAACTCCTTGAGCAAATAAGGCTAATGTAAAAGCAGTAAGTTTGTCATCTTCTATTGGTGTATGTGATGAAGTGGAAATTACACATGCAAAAATAGTTAATACTATAAATGTGCAAGTTGCTAGTGATTGTGATTCTATGGATTCTTTAAATCTTCAACGCCATTGGAGCTTTTAACCCCAATTTATAATCAACTTGAAAGTAGCAAATGGCTATGATTTTTTTTTTTTTCATGATTGTTGGGGCTAAAAGCTATAATTTATTGTATATAGAACACAAATCAATCACAATCTAAAAAGGTTGGTGCTTGAAAATACCTCAAATGAAATGAGTGGTGATTTGTTAACATCATGCTTGAGTTTGTCCATTACTGAATTACATGCTAAGCAATTACTTAAGAGCAAAGAGGAGTTAAAACATATGTTATATGTATATGCTATGAAAAGGAACTTTTAATTTAAGGTGAAGAAACTTGGCAAAGAAGTATGATATATTTTTTGTCTTAAAAGAAATGCTTGTTGAGCTTGTGAGCAAGAAAATAGCAAATTCAAATATATTTAAGATATCGAGCCTTACATTAGAACACCCTTGTACATTGGATATAAGATCAAATGAGCACCATCAAGCTCAACCATGGGTCATTAGACATGATCAAATATAAGCATATAGCATATGATCCTAAAATGAAGCCAAAGACGATCGTATCATATGTTAAAATAAATTATGGCATTAATTTATCCTATGAAAACGCTTAGTAATGTCATAAGCATGCCATCACCCATGAGAGAAGATCCCACAAAGCATCATCTCAAAAGTTATCTTTATATTTGATTATGATATATAGCAAAAATATTAGTATAATAGCTGATCTTCGACAAGAAAGTGTTGTTACTCAGTATTAAGTGTTGATGGAACGTACTTGAATATACTTTATTGAGGAACTTTTCTTTTGTCAGTGGTTGAAGGCGCCATTGCTCAGGCTTATACTATGTCATTTGTAATTGTTGGTTTAGAAAATAATGAATCATGATTGTATGTCATGACTAGGTTATAGGCATAATAGAGAACTTTGTGTTTATCTCTAAATGACATAATAATATTGCTAATATTTTGTCAACCTTTTTTTGGAGGCAAAATAAAGCATGCATCTAGCAATGAAAATCACGATGAACTTCAAAATTAATAATGCTATTAATGAAGAGTATCACTCGACTTTCAAGACTTCGAAAAGAGTTTAGTTCTTAGGCACTTCGGCATAAAAACAAATATGTCAAGAACCAGATATAGCATATTATCTTGAGAAGTTACCTTTTTGATCAATGAATGAGCTTGTGTTTTCTTCTTCGAAAATTGATACAAATTGTTTATGACTGGTAGTTTCAATCATTTTCCTAAGAAAATAACAATCAAATTTCTCTGATTTTGAATATTATATCGCACATAAACTCATTTTTTTAAATAACAAAAAAATTAATTAAAAAAATAAACAAGCATTTAAGAAATAAAAATAAATATAATAAAAAAGACCCTTAAATTGTCATATACCTTCAAAACTAGATCCCTTAACCGTTGGAACAAAAAAGTAAAAAACTCTACAAAACGCAAGCTAAAGAGGTAACAGACGGATCATGCTCTGTACTGAAAATACATTACAACCTATACAGCATAGAAAGCAAAGAAGTGTAATCTATTATAACTATCACAGGGTAATATAATGAAATTCTCGAAACTCATCATATTACCCAAATTATACAATTGTAATAAAACTAGCACTTGTAGCAAGTCTACATAAGCAATCGAAGGAAAAAGTCCACAAAGTGCACTCTGCAACTAATGTAACTACTGCCAATTGTACTGATTCCGATTTGCGCCCATATTTGGACCGCGGTTGGCGCCAGAAGCACCATAAGGACCGCCTTGCGGATAATTCCCCGCTGCCGCACCATAACCGGCGCCGCCGCCACCGCCCCGCGGTCCACCAGCACCCGGCATATTTCCACCAGCATAAGGAGGGCCGCGGCCTTGTTGAGGATAGGGACCACCGCTGTAACCCCCACCCTGGCCACCTCGATTCGGATGGTTGGGATTGTACCCACCGCCGGGATTACCTCCCTGCGGGTACCTATTAGGACCTCCGGAAGGGCCACGGGGCTTCCCGTAGTGGTGGCTCGGACCAGCGGCCATCTGAGGTTGTGCATTATGGATGGGTTGGCCAGGGCCGGGCCACATTTGGGGATGAGGTTGCCCGGTCTGTTGGATGGGAGGAAGACGGGCGTGAGGCTGAGGGTGCTGGAGCTTCTGCCTCTTTGCCATCTCTTCATGCTGGCGTTGTTGTTGGCGCTTCTTCTTTGTCTGGAACTCGTGGGAAGACTCGTACTTTGGAAGGCTGTTTGGACAAGAGGTGCATTAATGGATATATGTGCTTCAAGCAGATGAGAAATTTCATTGTCAAGGGGTGTAAGGCATACCTTTTTGGATCACATGGTAAGGGATCAGCCCAGAAATACTCTGCATCAAGCGCATCTTTTGCTGATATTCTCTACAAATCAGAAAACGAGAGGTGAAGATGCAAGGGAATCAGATTTGTACAGATTAGCACAAGTTAAACGGATATGATCATGAAAACTGGTTTCCAGACGAATATTTGGAAGATAACATGAAAATGTTGAAGTCAATTAGTAGAAAGTTAAACAGTAGATATTATATATATATATGCTTGAAAACAATAAAAGATCATATAACTTGTAAGTTCAATCCTACAGACTTAGGCTAGTTGTTAACTTGAGGAGGAGTTCAAAGACCTGCAATTTAAAAATCCGATTCATATCATCCACTGCCATGATCAACTTCTCGTGTAAAAAGAGAAAAATGCAAGCCTTATGTAATACCTGCGACGGATCGAGCATCAACATCCTCTCCAATAACTCCAATGCATGGCGGTCAAAACTGCCAAACCACACGTCATACTTTTATCATTTTTGCAGAAATGACTAAGACAAGCCAAAACGTAGCAGGGTCTGCTTACTGCTTGAAAAGCTCCCTGACGCGTCTCTTCATTGGTTTGGCTGGCTTGAAGTTGTTATACCAAGGCATCTTAGAAACACCGGGCCAGTTCACCTCATCAGGAGTTCCACAGAGCTCAAAAATCTTGGTCAATTGTTCTGGCTGAAATATGCAAGTAACAAGCAGTGAGTTTGCTTTTCATCTCAGCAATTGCCGTAAGCAGCCAGATTGTAAACATGTGCGGTTCAAGAAGAAAAAAGGTTAAGTGAAGGAAGTAGAGGGACCAATAATAAGTTGGAAATGAAATCATGAAAAATGGAAGAAAACCACCCGGAAATTCCTGAAAAAAAAAATTATTGCAGATTGCAGTCTGTTGCAAAAGCTGGATGCTTTAATTCGAGACAAAAAAAAAATTAGAGTTTACAGGGAACACCAAGAGCCGTGGAGTAAAATCTTATTACAATAATAGACTTTACAAGCATCTGTCCCTTGATATTATGCAACAAGATGCTAAAAGGACAAATAAATGCCTCGAGCTCAATACGCACCGTCCTAGTTTTAAATGCAACCCTTTAAAGCAAAATTAATATTTGGATGCAAAAGCACCAAGAGGGGTCCAATTTTGAAAGTACACCAAGGATGAAGTAAAACTGAAGTGCATCAAAATATTTTTTTTTAAATTATGACTTGTATTATGAAATTAAATATAAGTTAAATTTAAAATCAGCAAGCTATTAATCATGGGAATGCTTAAAATAAGCTTCAACCAAATAAGAAAGGCAATCCACAAATAGCAATTAACCACAATCAAAGTTCTGGAATTCAAGAAATATAAATCAAATCAACAACTTAGCCAACATGGGTTGGCAAAAAGATCCCACATTTAACATAGATCAATCACTACGAGAACCATGCACTCAATGATTTAAGAAGCCAGCGGATTTAAATTAACATGAAAGTAATGATGCCACAAAGAATTGGACTTCAAAGCTAGCTACTCAAATGAATGAAGAAAGAGTAGAAAGACTTCGGTATTTGCGTCGTGGGGAAGCTTCCTTCAGATGTGGTGGGGTCTTGGCCAGTTGATCTTCAAATGGTTGCTCCGTAGTGTCTTCCTTGTGTCTTGCTTCACAGTGGAGAAGAAGAGATGCTAGCTGAAATTTGGAAGGAGGGAAGCCACAATTTTTGCTATTTGGGGGAGATTGGGAATGGTACGAGGCAAATTAGAGTGGTGGAGCTTAGGGGAATGGGAGAGAGTGGGATTGGGATTGGAAAATGGGTTATAATTAGAGTGGCAGTTCAAACCGGTTCTCACCGGTTGATGTAGACTAGTTTTTTAGGAGGACTGAACCGGCCATAGAACCAGTTCACGGTTGAACAGGTCAAACCGGCCGGTCCAGTCCGATTTTCAAAACCATGGTAGTAGGTTGTAGGATCTCTTTCAAAATTTCCTTATAAATGTATATGATGTGAAACCAGGAATTGAATTTAGAAACTTAATAAAATATTGTTCAAGCAGTGAAATTGGAATCTTAATGTTGTTCACATTTGAAACTTATCAGAGATCTTAGAATTAGACTACGCTTAGGCAAGAGCTTACACCTAAATTAGCAAGATCGATAAAATA